ATCCGGAGCTTTTAGTTGTGTGGGTTTCTTTCTTTGTCCATAAAAAGAATTTAAATCTTGGTTCAATTCCAAGTAGTCTAGTCAAGTGGTTGGCCCCTTTTTTCCAAAAAAGGATGAATTTATCCGGTTCAATTCCGGGAATTATAGTTTGGTTTTTCAACTTTTTCCGTAAAAAGTTCAAAAATCTTGGTTCAAATCCAAGTAATTAGTTGGTGGGTTTTATGATTTTATCCATAAAAAATCAAGAGGTGGAAAATATATCAAGAAATTGAGGATGAATGTTGAAGATGACACTCGAAATGGTATGTGGAAGAATCGATATGAACAAAGATGGTCGATTGAAGATTGCAAAAATTGGAAGATTGTGAATAGAGATAAAAAGAGGAGGATAGTGTGGCGTTTTATAGCAATATACTTATGAGGTGTATAAAAGATAATAAAGACAAAAGAGTTGAGAGAAGAAAGAAGATTGCCATCAAGGATATTATTGGGAATTGGAAGATAGACACTATATGCATTTTTTTGTGGAATACATGGGATAATTTTGTTCATAGGCCTTGTGTTAATTCAGACATATGGATGTGGAGTACATATAGAGATTGCATTTTTGAAGATTGGAAGGAAAAATGGCGAGTTCAATTCAAGTGGCAAAAGAGAGTTGAAGATCACTCCGAGTTGTGGAGTTGGGAAAGAATAAAATGTATTTTCTTTGGTTACTTTGTTGCTAGGATTAGCCTTTGGTTTTGGTATTTACGTGACATTTGGATTTTGGTCATTTTTGGGGATTGTCCAAAAATGACATAACGCTTGTTTTTCTTTTTGAATTTATAAAATTTTTGCCGAGGCTTCGGCCTCTTTCCCAAAAAAAAAAAAAAACCCTAAACCCTAAACCCTAAACCCTAAACCCTAAACCCTAAACCCTAAACCCTAAACCCTAAACCCTAAACCCTAAACCCTAAACCCTAAACCCTAAACCCTAAACCCTAAACCCTAAACCCTAAACCCTAAACCCTAAACCCTAAACCCTAAACCCTAAACCCTAAACCCTAAACCCTAAACCCTAAACCCTAAACCCTAAACCCTAAACCCTAAACCCTAAACCCTAAACCCTAAACCCTAAACCCTAAACCCTAAACCCTAAACCCTAAACCCTAAACCCCAAACCCTAAACCCTAAACCCTAAACCCTAAACCCTAAACCCTAAACCCTAAACCCTAAACCCTAAACCCTAAACCCCAAACCCTAAACCCTAAACCCTAAACCCTAAACCCTAAACCCCAAACCCTAAACCCTAAACCCTAAACCCTAAACCCTAAACCCCAAACCCTAAACCCTAAACCCTAAACCCTAAACCCCAAACCCTAAACCCTAAACCCTAAACCCTAAACCCTAAACCCTAAACCCTAAACCCTAAACCCTAAACCCTAAACCCTAAACCCTAAACCCTAAACCCTAAACCCTAAACCCTAAACCCTAAACCCTAAACCCTAAACCCTAAACCCTAAACCCTAAACCCTAAACCCTAAACCCTAAACCCTAAACCCTAAACCCTAAACCCTAAACCCTAAACCCTAAACCCTAAACCCTAAACCCTAAACCCTAAACCCTAAACCCTAAACCCTAAACCCTAAACCCTAAACCCTAAACCCTAAACCCTAAACCCTAAACCCTAAACCCTAAACCCTAAACCAAGTCATTTGCTAAAATTTTTTCTCTCTCTAACTTTCTCTCTCTAGGATTTTCTCTCTCGGTTTTCCAGTTTTGGTGAGTGGCTTGGTTGGGATTCTGGTGATCGGATCTCTTGCCGGTGCCGGAATTTCATCATCGTTGATTGAATTTACTCTAAAATCAATTCCAATTGTCTATACGATTGGTGATCGGATGTTCTGGAAAATTGGAAGTATGTTTGGCATTAATTATAAAGATCCACCTGATCCAGCTAACAAAAATCTATATGAAGATGATCTGGAAGCTGATGTTGGAGCTAAACGAAGAGGAAGAAGAGCTATGCACAAGGAATTTTCTCCGTATTCAATGATTAAACCATTACGATCAAAAGAAAAAATGGAAGCTAAAATTAATCGGTTAAGGGAAGAAAAGAAGTATCTGAATGCGAAATCTATTGCTGATGGATCGAAAGAAGTTCTTCGAGCTGGAGTACGTGAAATAATAAAATCAAATTATGGGAAAGAAAATATAGATCCGCAATTTATAAAATCGGAGTTGGAGGCATTTGATAAGGTGATCGCTAATCAGAAAAAATTGAAAGAAGAAAAAGGATTTGTGTTGCTCCAGGTAACCTCAGATATGGTTAAGGGATATAATTCTTCTAAGAATTTGGTGGGTGGATCATCTCCTTCGTCTCCTGTTATTCAAGCGAACATGGGAATGGATGCTGGAACTGTAGCTGGGTCGAACAATAGAATTTCAGCTGGAACAAAAAATGACAAAGGCATTTTGGGTGATGAGCCGAAGATTACTAAGGACTTCATTTCCTCGGAATTAATGAAGATGGGTTCGTATGCTTCAGGCCCTGGTTCGTCTTCTTCAGGTCCTGGTCCAGTAATTGAAACAAATGAAGGGAAGGGCATTTTGGGAAAGTTTCCTGTTTCGCAAGTTGCTTCAGTTAATTCAGGTATTCCGGTGGTCTTTAATGCTAATCCTATTGACTCAATTAGTTGTAATACTAATTGTAATGATGAAGATATGAAAGATTCTATTAATGAGAATGGGAATTTGGAAGTTGGTTATGGTAATAATATGAAGAAAGAACAGGGAGCTAATTTCTTGAATATGGATTTTTCGAAACCTGTCCTCTCCCCTGCAGCTAAGTTGGTTAATGAGTTCAATAAAAAATCTTATGCTCGTATGGTTGAATCAACAAATAATGTGGTGGATCTTAATATCAAAGTTATTCCAAAAGTTGATGGGAAACCTAGTGGGAAAGTTGAGTTACCTTATGCAGATTTAATGTTGGGTGGTGCTCCTTATCATGCTACTTTGTATGGATTTTTTGTGGGGAAAAAGCTTGCTTTCCCAACAGTTAATCATTTTTCTTTTAAGATGTGGAAGATGTATGGGCTGAAGGATATAATGGTGAATGATGAGGGATTTTTTTCTTCAAGTTTGATTCAAAAGAAGGAATGATGAGTGTGCTGGAGGGAGGTCCATGGTTGATTAACAATGTCCCAATGTTTGTTCAAAGATGGAGGCCAGGTCTAGTTTTGAGTAAACCGCAAATTAATTCAGTTCCTGTATGGGTTAAAGTGTTTAATGTTCCTTTGGAGTATTGGAACAGCAAAGGAATTACGTTGATTGCAAATGAGATTGGGAAACCAATTGCTATGGATAAAATCACTCAAAAAATGTGTAATGAGCACTGGGGAAGGCCAGCTTTCATGCGATTTCTTGTGGAAATGTCAGCAGAATCGGAATGGATGAAAGAATTAAGTGTTGTATCAATAGATTTTGGGACAGGAGAGAAAGTTGAATCAAAGTGCAGGATAGAGTATGCATGGAGACCTGATATTTGTAGTCATTGCAAAATTTACGGGCATAAAAATAACAATTGTGGGATTCTAAATGGAAAAAAGAATAATGATGTTACTGATGTTGCTGTTGACAGAGAAGAAAAGGAGAGAAAAGAGAAAGTGGATGATGATGGGTTCATATTAGTAACAAAGAAAAACAATAAAGGGCAGAAATTCAATACCGGAGTGGTTATTAATGAAGAAGGGAAGGTGGATTTAATAAAATCTTTGGAGAAAAGCACCAAGCCTGTTTTTGATGGAATGGTTGTTAGCAATAATGATGAAAGTCTTAAGGATGAGGGTAATCAAGGAATGGAAATAAGCAAAAAAATTAAAGAACAAGAAAATAAAAAAGGAGGCCAAAATGAAGATCGAAGCAATGAAGGGGCAGAAAATCGGAAGAATGGGGGTAATTTCTTGAAATTTGCTGTGGGTAATCTAAAAAAAGATGGGAAAGAGAAAGGGGTATTTCAGTCAAAAGATGATAAAAGTGGGAGAAAGAATGGGACAGGGGTGTTCATTCCAAAAGAGAAATTAGGAACAAGAGTGAAGAATGTAATTGAAAACTTTAATGCTAAAAAAGATGGAATGCAGGGGAAAAGAGAAGAAAATCAGAAAAAAGTGTATGTTCCTAAGAAGCAAGTGGAGTTAAAAGTGAGTTCTAATTTTGATAATTTAGGTTCTACGTCAGGAAAAATTGATCAAGATGAAATTACAACACAAAACCCATTTGATGTTCTTGCTGATTTGGGTTTAAGAGATATGTCTTATCTTGATGAGATGGATTCGGAGATTTTAACTGGAGGTGGCCAGGAGATAAGCACCGAAAATAAAATTGGTGATTAATGATGATGAATATAGGGTGTTGGAACGTGAGGGGTTCGAATTTAAGACCAAAACAGGAAGAAATAAAAAATGTGATAAGAAGTAATAAGTTGTCGTTGTTTGCTATTCTTGAATCTCAGTTGAGATTTAATAAGTTACAAGCGACTTGTAATAATGTTTTTGGGAGCTGGATGTGGATTTCGAATCAAGACATGAGCCCTAAAGGCACTCGCATTATAATTGGATGGGACCCAAATGAAGTTATTGTCATGCCTTTGGATGCTAATAGTCAGGTGATGCATTGTCAAGTCATATTTATCAAGGAGAATAAGAGGCTGTTTTGTTCTTTTGTTTATGGTTGCAATTATTATATAGACAGAAGGAAACTTTGGGATTCATTGGGAAAGCATTATAATTTGGTTGCTGGACAACCTTGGTTGATTGCTGGAGATTTTAACGTTACCAGGGAACTTGTGGATACGATGGCTGGTCAATCTAAAATCTCAAGGGGTATGGTAGAATTTAATGAGTGCATTAATTCTATTGAAGTCCAAGATATAAATAGTAATGGATTGCACTACACATGGAATCAAAGACCACGTGGGGCTTTTGGGGCGTTGAAAAAACTTGATCGTGTGCTTGGGAACCATAAACTGATTGAAGATTTTCCGAATGTGTTTGCTAACTTCCAGCCTTATCGGATTTCAGATCATAGCCCTATGATTATCAAATTCCCAATTAAAAGAAAGTTCAGGGTCAGACCGTTCAAGTTTGTTAATTCTCTTGTGCTGCTGGATAATTTTCTGCCCATTGTTGAAAGTGTTTGGAAGACTGAAGTTGAAGGATTTGGTATGTTTAGGCTTTGTCAGAAATTAAAGCTTTTAAAGAAACCTCTCAGGAAACTGTTAACTAGTCATGGCAATTTTGCTGAGAAAGTTTCTAAATGCAGAGAAGAATTATGTAGGGTCCAGGAAAGTCTTGATTTGGACCCATGCAATGAAGAGCTGAGATTTGAAGAAGGAATATACCTGCAATCTTTCTTGAATGCTAGCAGGGAAGAGGAGAGTTATTTAAAACAAAGAGCTAAAGTGCATTGGCTTAAGGAGGGATATTCAAATTCTGCTTACTTTCATAAGGTTGTGAAGGGTAAAATAAACAGAAACAGAATTGAAACAATCCTTGATGGAAATGGAAATTGGAAGGAAGGGGATGAAGCTTTTAAGGTCATTGTGGATTATTTTGGTGAATTTCTTGGAGTGGAACATGGTGTTGTTCCAATTATTAGACCGGAAGATCTTGAGTTCAGGAAACTTGACAATCAACAAGCTGTGGATATGATCAAAGATGTTACTGATGAGGAAATTAAGGCTGCCCTCTTTGATATTGATGATGACAAAGCGCCTGGCCCTGATGGTTTTTCTTCTAAATTCTTTAAGAAAGCTTGGATGATAGTAGGAAGTGATTTTTGCTTTGCTGTTAAAGAATTTTTTATCTCAAAAAAGATATTGAAGGAAGTTAATGCTACTGTTATTGCGTTAGTTCCTAAAGTTCAGACACCAGGCAAGGTTGGGGACTATCGGCCAATATCTTGTTGTAATGTGATTTATAAATGCATTAGCAAAGTTATTGTCAACCGCATTAGAGATCATCTTGGGTGCTTGGTTTCGGATAATCAGTCGGCTTTTATTCCAGGGCATTCAATATTGGATAATATTTTGTTATCTCAAGAACTTGTCAGAGGGTATCATATTAATAGGGGCTTTGCTAGGTGTGCTATGAAAGTTGATATTCAAAAAGCATATGATACAGTTAATTGGTGTTTTTTGCGGAATATATTGAAAGAGTTTGGATTTCATGAATTTATGATAACCTGGATTATGAATTGTGTTACAACTTCCTCTTTTATGATCAATATAAATGGAAGTTTTCATGGGTTTTTCCAAGGAAAGAGAGGCCTCAGACAAGGTTGCCCTTTATCTCCTTACCTCTTTACACTTGTTATGGAGGTGTTTAATTTAATGCTTAAAAGGAGAATAAAGGAATGTAGTGAATTTAAATACCATTGGAGATGTAAAGAACAGGAGCTTACCCACTTATGTTTTGCTGATGACCTGATGGTTTTCTGTCACGGAAATTCTGAATCTATAAAAGTGATCAAGAAGGCGATGGATGAATTTGCTAATTCAGCTGGCCTTGTTCCGAATCTGTCCAAAAGCCACATCTTTTTTGGGAATGTTAAGGTGCAATTTAAAAGGAAAATCTTGAAGATTCTGCCTTTTGTTGAAGGTAAATTGCCTATGAAATATCTTGGGATTCCGTTGATTTCTACTAAGCTTTTTATTAGAGATTGTAAGGGTCTTATAGATAAAGTCAAGAAGAGAGTTAATGACTGGAAAAACAAATCTTTGTCGTATGCTGGAAGACTTCAACTAATAAGTGCTGTTCTTGCTTCAATTCCTGTCTATTGGGCTTCAGTGGTTTTATTACCAAAAGGAATAAATAAAGAAATTGGGAAAATAATGAGGGAGTTTCTTTGGAATAGTGGGCAGAATTGTAAAGGAGCTGCTAAGGTGTCATGGAATAAAATATGTAAGCCAAAGAATTATGGAGGGCTTGGGCTGAAAAATCTTAAAGATTGGAACATTGCTCTTCTATCGAGTAGAATTTGGAAGCTTATAAGTGGGCAAAACTCCTTGTGGGTGAAATGGGTTAATTGTTATTTGCTTGAAGGAAGAAGCTTTTGGGATGTTGGTCCAAAAGACAGAATGAGCTGGAGTTGGAGAAATCTTCTAAAGATACGGCCTTGTTTAAGAGATTTTTTCTATTCTAGAATTGGAAATGGAGAAGGAACTAGCATGTGGTACGATAATTGGCATCAATTGGGGCCTTTGTGCTATGTTTTATCTCCCAGGGAAATTACTAATGCTGGATATAACATAAGGGACAAAGTTGGAGATGTTATTGGTGATGAAAATTGGAATTGGCCTTCTGAATGGATTGAAATGATACCTCAACTGGGTGATTTTACTATTCCTAGGATCATCAGAGAGAAAAAAGATGAAGTGCTTTGGGTTAATCACAAAGGAAAGATTGTTCCTTTTGCGGTTAATCAGGTCTTTTCTTCCATTATGTGCCGTGAGACAATTGTTGAATGGTATGATTTAGTTTGGTTCCAAAATAGAATTCCAAGTCACTGTTTTATCCTCTGGCTTGCTATCCTGGGAAGACTGAGAACGCAGGATAGAATGAAGAGATGGAATGAAGCTAATGATTTCAGTTGTGTTTTCTGCAATTCTCAATTAGATTCACATACCCATTTGTTTTTTGATTGTAAGTTTACAAAGGAAGTTTGGGACTTGATGAAAAATAAAGTGAAGTTGAATCATAAAACTGGCAACTGGTTTGAAATCATCAAAGAAATTCAATATTCTTTAAAAAAGAAAAGCATAAATAATTTCGTTAGGAAAATTGCTTTGGCGGCTTCCATTTATCATATCTGGAATGAAAGAAACAAAAGATTGTTTGGGAAGCCGAGTAATTCAGTGGAAACTGTTGTTAAGATAATCACAGAAGATATTAGAGCGAAAATATTTAGCCTTAATCTGGGATATCTTGGACTTAATGAAGAGTTGTGCAAGGAGTGGAATGTTCCTGTTAAAAACAAAGATTATCTCCATGGAAATTGATATTAATCTGAAAAGCAGGTTGTATGAAGATTTGTCAGAGTGGTTGGTTTGGAATTGGTGGGAATTGATATTTGATGAAGCTTGGATTATGAATATAAGGAAGAAGGTTAATAAAAGTGGGAATTCTAGTAAATCAGTCAAAGGGTATTTTGGTCAAATCTGGAAATTTAATAAAAGGAAAGACATATTAAGGAGCGGCTTGATTGTTATATATCTTGGCGATGATTCTGTTGCTGCGGATTGGAAGGAGATGGAATTACAAAATAAAAATCGCAGGTTCTTATTTTTTGAACAGGGGCTGTGTGGGATTCGGATAGATGAAGGAGTGATTGCTATATTCTTTGTCATGAATAATAAAATCAACTTGCTGAGAAGGAATAAGAGTTTGCGGTTTAAGGAAGTGTATCACAGAGAGGGAAAAAATGAGAAACAGGGGCATACAGGGAGTTTGTTAAAAGATTGCGAGCGTGGTTTTTGGATGGAGGGGTATGTAGGTAATTTTGATCTATGCTGGATTTTTATTCTTGTTATAAATAAGTGTGGGAGTAAGGATCATAGGAAGGGTGTTAATAAAAACGAAAATTTAAGAATTTGGGTCAAAGGGTTGTTTGGTCATCTTTGGGGAAAAATTAAAAAGCAGGATCAAATTGTGCATTGCTTGGAAATAATCGAAACTTGGAAGAAGGGAAGAGTGATTGGAAATCGGATGGGTGGGTATTTTGAAAGGCAAATGGAAGTTAAAGATGGAAGAGGGTGGTATGATATGCAGCGGATTATGAAGAAAATTAAGGTGAATAATAAGAAAGGACAATTTGGGCATTTTTATAAGTTTGAAGTGTTGAGGTGCTGGATGGATCATAATGGAAGTTTCTTGGTGCTGCAAAATATTTGGAATAAAATGTTTGGAGTTTGGTCTAATAGAGAAGCGATTGGAACAATTTATGCCGTGGGTGATAAGATTAGTAATATTGAAAGAAGGAAGTCCTTGCGTTTCAGCAGTTGTTGGTACAGAAAAGGAAAAAATAAGAAGCAGGGATATCATGGGTTTGAGGGGTATTTCGGTAATTCAAATTTTTTCTGGGTTCACCTTCCTGTTCGAGATATTTGTGGGAGGAAAAATAATTGGAAGATTCTTATAAAAAGTGGAAAATTAAAAATTTGGATTAAAGGGTATTGTGGTCATTGTTTGGGGAAAATTATTGTGGATGATCATTCGGTAAACTACTTAGGGATGATTGAAATTTGGAGGAAGGGCATAGCGAATGGGAGTTTGAAAGGTGGGTTATTTGATAAACATTTGAAAGATGAAATTGAAAATGGGTGGAGTGTTATTCAGCGGTTTTTGGATTCAAATAAGATTAATAACAAGCGAGGGCAAGATGGGCATTTTCATAATATTGATGATTTTTGGTGCTGGAATGATTTTAATGGAGGCAAGCTGGAGTTGCAAAATGGCTGGAATAAAATTAATGAGAGTCAAAATTCTTTTCATATTCTTTTGAAGGAGCAGGGGCATTTTGGTCAAAATTATGAGAAGAGTGTCATTTCTATTCATAATATGATGATCTTTTGGAGTTTGGAAGTTAAGATACAAAGAAGGAACTATTGGATACGGATGAATTCTTTTGTTTTAGAAGGAGTCCATTTCCAATATCTTTACAAAGGAATTGATGGTCACGGGACTTTTACCAATTTTTCCCTTAAAATTGGATTGCAACTCGGTTTAATCCCGAGTATCATTTGGTTTATACCTTATGATGTGGTTAAATTTCATCATTATATGGAATTTTTTTCCATTTATTGTGAAACTCCGCCTTGGAAACAAGGTGTGTATTACCAAGGATTTGACGGAAATGGGAGTTTTTTCATTTTTTCCCTTAAAAATGATTTGCATCTCGGTTTGATCCCGAGATTCATAAGAATTTTTTCTTGTGAAGTTGAATTCAAAAAAGTGCTTATGGGTTTTATCCCCATAAGTTGTGTTTTCAATCCTATTAATTTAGGATTCTCCACATTTGTGGGTGCCACTACTGGTTCGATCAGTAAGTGGTGGGATATTCACCCGTCAATAACCAGGCTTGGGTACGTCATCCTTAGACTGTACCACCAATTTTTTGGCATTTTTTGGGTAACAAAATGTCACTCTTTGTCCGGTTCAAATCCGGAAACTTTAGTTGGTTGGTTTTTCCTCTTTTTCCATAAAAAGAATCAAAATCTTGGTTCAAGTCCAAGTAGTATAGTCATGTGGTTTGCCCCATTTTTCCAAAAACGGATGTTTTTTACCGGTTCAAATCCGGACTATTTAGTTGGTTGGTTTTTCTTCTTTTTCCATAAAAAGAACTTAAATCTTGGTTCAATTCCAAGTAGTTTAGTCATGTGGTTGGCCCCTTTTTTCCAAAAAAGGATGAATTTATTCGGTTCAAATCCGGAAATTATAGTTTGGTTTTCTAACTTTTTCTGTAAAAAGTTCAAAAATCTTGGTTCAATTCCAAGTAATTTAGTGGGTGGGTTTTATGATTTTATCCATAAAAAATCAAGAGATGGGATTTGTGTTAAAAGAGCATGGGTGATGATGGTTGATGAAGACAATTGGAATGGAATGTTGGAAAAGCGTTATAATCAAAGAAGGTCGGTTGAAGAGAATAAGAATAGGAAGATTGTGAATAAAGATAATAGAGAAGATGATAATTTGGCTTGTTATAGCAACATACTTTTGAGGTACATAAAAGATAATAAAGATACAAGGGTAGAGAGGAGAAAGAAGATTGCTATTATGGAGTCTTTTGGCAATGGGAAGGTAGAAACTAAGTGCATTTTTGTGTGGAGAATTTGGGATATTGGTGTTCATAGGACTAGTGTTGTTATTGACACTTGGATAAAGAGCATGTATAGAGATGGCATTTTTGAAGATTGGAAGAAGAAATGGAGTGTTCACTTCGAGTACGAGCGGGAAATTGAAGACCACTCCGGGTTGTGGAGTTGGAATAGAATAATTTGTACTTTCTTTGTTTATATTGTCATTAGGGTTAGCATTTGGTTTTGGTATCTTAGAGATATTTGGATTTTGGTCTTGTTTGGGGTCATTTTTGGGGTTTGTCCAAAAATGACATAACTCTTGTTTCTTTTTTTTCGTGTTTATAAAATCTTTGCCGGGGCTTCGGCCTCTTTCCCAAAAAAAAAAAAAAAAAAAACCCTAAACCCTAAACCCTAAACCCTAAACCCAAAAACCCAAAACCCGTTTCTCTCTCTTCTCTGGCGATTCCCTCGTTTTCCAACCGTTTTTCCGGCACCGATCGTTTTTCCGGCAACCGTTTTCTACAATTTTGATATCAATTTGTTCCTCTTCTCCTGCTTAATCTAAGGATACTGTTTGATCGTTCCATGGAGGGTGTTCCACCTGATTTGGAACCTGATGTTATAATGCGGAAAAAAGGAAAAAATGCGAAGGTGAAAAATAAGCTCAAAATCGTTCAGGATTCTGATTCCAAGCAATTGATTGATTCATCCCAAGCTAAATCGGTCTCCTCCCTTGTCAACAAGTTTGAATCTGAAGCTATCCCGATTAGTTCTATAATCCCGTCTGAAGCTGGTAATGCCGATAATTCCAAATTGGTTAGTATGGCCATTGATTCTCTTTCTGAAGTGAAAAATGAAGTTATTCTTCCTAATTGTTCGAATTCGAATCCTCAATTTCTCCCTGATGTTGCTAATTTGAAAAATCACGATAGTCCCTGTTTGTTTAATACCGAAAATTCCAAACTGGTTTGTATGGCATTTGATTCTCCTCTTGCAGTGAAAAATGAAGCTATTCTTCCTAATAGTTCGAATTTGAATCTTCAATATCCCCCAGATGTTGCTAATTTGAAAAATCATGTTAGTCCCTGTTTGCTTAATACCGAGTGCTCTTCTCCATCTGTTATTTTTCATAGTTCGGTTAACCCCACAAAAGTTATGTCGGATTCAATTGAAGTTCTGAGTCAATCAGTTATTGAATTTGAAAAGGATATTGTTCAACTTTGTAGTCCAGGAGAGAAAAATTCGATGATTGCTTTTTGGAATGGTTTATCTGTTAAAGAAAAAGAAGGATTTGTACATGGTTTGAGATTCACGAAAAAGAAATATAACAATGGAATTGAAACTGATGATGACAAGATGGATGCTATTGATGATGTTAAGAAGATCTCATTGGTTAGTCAAAGGAATGAAATACTAATGAACTGGAAAGATCTGTCCGACAAGAAAAAAGGAAAAATAATCCACAAACTTTGCACTAGCAAAGTTAAAAAAATGGCTGAAGCTAATTTCGGGAAGAACAGAATTCCAATTAAGTCCTCCTGTTCTCTTTTTCCGTCTTCGGTTAGTATGAAGATTACCTCTGAGTTTGAAGCTTCTGATGGTCTTCAAAAAGTTGGTGAAACTGTGATTAAGCTTTTTCCTGAAGGGGATCCTAAATTGAATTTGAATGAACCTGTGAGTGTTGATCTTCAAGAAATTTGCTCTCTGCAATCGGTGGTTAAAGAAAAGAAAGAGAAGAGGAAAATTGAGATTGATGAAATGGTGAGTAAACAGCTGGAACAAGTGTGCAATGAGATTAAATTTCATTTCCCTAGCAAGTTCAATCATATTGAAATTGGGAAAAAAGGAATGTTTAATTTTAATTATGCTGATCCGGATGATAAGGGCAATAATGTCCAAATGATGGTTGATGAAGAGGAAGATAAGAAAGGGAGTATCCGAAATAGTAATGGAGGGCTTCTCATCACTGAAAACATGCTGGAACAAATGAAGAATGGGGAAATAAAGAACAAGGTGAATATGAATGTTCACACAATGTCTTTGGATGAATCAAAAATAAATGAACCTGTGTCATACGCTGAGAAAGTTAGCGGGAAGAAGCTTAATGCAGCAAATCTTATTTCTAAGGTTAAGAAGAATGCGGACTTACCTGATGGAGTGGTGGAAATGCCAATATGTGATATCCTTAAAGGTTGCAGCCCCTTTAAGACCACCCTTTATGGATACTTCATTGATAAACATGTTAATTTCTTTAATGTCAACAAGTTTGCGCACAACACATGGAGAAAGCATGGATTAGAGGAAGTAATGGTAAATGATGAAGGCATTTATTTTTTCAGATTTAGTACTGAACAAGGCATGATTTCTGTGTTAGAGGGAGGAGTTTGGATGATTTTTGATAGCGCCCTTGTTGTTAGAAGATGGACCACTGGAGTGAGCTCGGCTAAAGATCAACATGATAAAGTTCCAGTTTGGGTCAAAATATATAATGTTCCTCTTGAATATTGGAATGGAACAGGATTGAGCCATATTGCTTGGGAAATAGGAAAACCATTGGATGTTGATGCTCATACAGCAAAAATGTGTCAAGATCATTGGGGAAGACCGGCCTTTATGAGAATTCTGATTGAAATGTCTGCTGCTAAGGAATGGCTTAAGGAAGTTCATGTATATTCTTCGGATCTTACCACAGGAGAAAGAATTCTGTCAAAATGCAAAATTGATTATGCTTGGAATCCTTCCAAATGCTCTCATTGCAAGGTTTATGGGCATAAAGATAGTACTTGTGGAATTTTACTTGCTAAGGAGGTCAAGGATATAGAAAAAACTAATTTAGATGATCAGAAAAATGATGGCAAAAAAGTTGATCTGATGGAGGTTCTTATCGCAAGCACAAAAAAGGTGGAAGAAGATAATGATGGGTTTCAAACGGTGGTTAAAAGAAATAAAGGAATAAATTTGGGTGAAAAGAAAAAGGAAGATCTTGGAATCAAAAATCAGAATTTTTCTCAAGGGCAAAATGGGAAGAACCATGGAATTGGAAAAAACACGGCTGGAAATTATGTTGCAAACCAGGGACAAAAAGGGAATAGTTTGGAAAAGCGCGGGAATTTGGTTGGAAATCAGGGGCAAAAAGGGAACAACTTTGTAAAAAATGGAAATAATTTTGGTGGCAATCAATGGAATAAGGGTAAAGGAATTCAGGGGCAAAATGGGAAAAATCAAACTATGAATGGAAGAAACAATGGATTTAAATTTGAGCAGGGGCAGAACAGTAAAAGCAATAATATTTCGAACAGGTCTAATTCTGCGGGAAGTAATACTGGTGGAATTAGTTCTCAGGGGAATGCTCTTGCGTTTTCTTATAATAAGGATCAGAATTTGAATGTTGAAAAGAGAAAAGATGCTGGTAGCGGGTTGAAGTATGTTCCAAATTCTGGAGAAGATAATAAGATAAGTTCCAATTTTGATAAATTACAAAATGTTGAGAACTTTAAAGACCCTGCGATTATTTTATCCAGCAACAAATTTGATGTGTTAAAGGATTTGGAAGATGATAATCAAGTGGAATTTTCTAGAAGAAGTTTTCAAGGAATTGACCTTGATTATTTGGATTCTGTTGACCAAATGGAAGTTATTGGAGGTATCCCATTGGATGATACCAACATGGAAGGCTTTTCCAATGACGATTAGTTTTGGAATTTGGAATGTTAGGGGTCTAAATCAGTCCCCTAAACAAAAAGAAATAAAAAATTTAATTAAGGAAAATAATTTGAGTTTATTAGCTATTCTTGAATCTCAAGTTAGCTTTAATAAAATCAATGAGAAATGTGAAAAGATTTTTGGGAATTGGAAGTGGATTGCAAATAAAGGAGAGGTTGGTCATACTTATCGCATTATTTTGGGATGGAACTCTAATTTTTTTGATGTTAACTTGATTGATCATAATGATCAAGTTATACATTGTAAAGTTAGTTTTACCTCAAATAAAAAATATGTGTTTTGTTCCATTGTGTATGCTGCCAACAAATACATAGATAGAAGAGGATTATGGGCTTCTCTTGTGCATCACAAAGGGTTAGTTCGTGAGGATCCATGGATCATTGGTGGGGATTTTAATGTCACGATTAATCCAAATGAAAGCTCTGCTGGAACGTCTAAGTTTACTAAAGGGATGGTGGAGTTTCTTGAGTGCATTAATGCTCTTGAAATTCAAGATATTAACTGCAATGGTTTGAATTTCACTTGGAATCAAAAACCTCAAGGAAATAATGGCATTTTGAAGAAATTGGATCGTGTTATGGGCAATTCCAGCTTGATGGATCTCTTCCCTTCTATTTTTGCCTCGTTTCTTCCTTATGGGCTGTCTGATCATAGTCCCATTGTAATCAAAATTCCGTTGAAAGCCAAGTTCAAGGTTCTTCCTTTCAAGTTCCCTAATGTTCTTACTTTAAGTGCTGATTTGAAGGTGTTGGTTGAAAATCAATGGAACATTGAGATCCAAGGAACTAAGATGTATGCTTTAATTCAAAAACTCAAAAATCTCAAGAAGCCGATTCGAAAATTGTTAAAGAAACAGGGGCATTTTTCGGATAATGTGTCTCATTTTCGTAAAGAATTGGATATGGTTCAAGCTGATTTGGATGAGGACCCTTTTAATTCTGATCTTCGCAATTTGGAAGCTATTTTCCTTGGGGAACTCAAAAAAGCTTATGAAAAGGAGGAATGTTTTTTGAAACAAAAAGCTAAAATTCAGTGGCTTAAAGATGGAGACAATAATTCAAAGTTTTTTCACAAAATGGTTAAAGGAAGAGTTCATAAAAGTCGTATTGAAGCTATCATGAACAATGATGGTGAATGGCTGGAAGGCGAAGAAATTTACAAAGAATTTGTGGAATATTTCAAGAATTTTTTGGGTAATGAAGTTCCCTGCGGTGAGATTGTTCAGCCCAATACTTTGTTTTCCAAAAAATTAGATCTTATTGAAGCCGCTGAGATGATCAAAATTGTGACCAATAATGAAATTAAAGAGACCCTGTTTGATATCGATGACGACAAATCTCCTGGACCTGATGGGTATTCGGCCAAATTTTTTAAGTCCTTGTGGCCGGTCATTGGAGAAGATTTTTGTGCTGCTGTTAAAGAATTTTTCGCGAATGGGAAAATCCTAAAAGAAGTCAATGCTACTGCTATTGCTTTAGTTCCTAAAGTTGAATTTCCTGGAAAAGTGAGTGACTTTAGACCCATTTCTTGCTGTTCGGTTGTTTATAAATGTATCAGCAAAGTGATAGTTGTTAGAATTAGAAATCACTTGGGTTCTTTGGTTGATGAAAATCAGTCCGCTTTTATCCCTGGAAGATCAATCACGGATAATATTCTTATTTCGCAAGAGCTTGTCAGGGGATACCATAGAGACCGTGGCTTTTCTAGATGTGCTCTTAAGGTGGATATTCAAAAAGCTTATGATACAGTTAGCTGGTCATTCCTTCAAGATATTCTTTTTCTTTTTGGATTTCATCCTGCCATGATTAATTGGATAATGCAATGCGTGAGTACTCCATCTTATATGATCAGTATAAATGGGTCTTATCATGGTTTTTTTGCTGGGAAAAGGGGTCTTAGACAGGGATGCCCTCTATCTCCTTATCTTTTTACTTTGGTTATGGAGATCTTTAACCTGATAATTCAAAGAAGAATAAAAAACGAGCCGTTTTTTAAGTATCACTGGAGATGCAAGAAACTTAAGCTTACACATCTTTGTTTTGCGGACGATTTGATGATTTTCTGCCATGGAAATTCTGCATCGGTCAGGGTTATTAAAGAGAGTCTTGAAGAATTCGCTTGTGTGGCTGGTCTTCATCCTAACTTTTCTAAAAGTCACATTTTTTTCGGCAATGTCAAAGCTAATGTGAAGAGTAGAATTCTGGATACTCTCCCTTTTGTTGAAGGGAAATTACCTATGAGATACTTGGGAATTCCTCTAATTTCTACGAGGCTTTTCATTCGAGATTGCAAAAGACTTGTTGACAAAGTTCGATGCAGATTAGGAGACTGGAGGAACAAATTCCTATCTTATGCTGGAAGATTGCAGCTCATTTCTTCTGTTCTTTATTCCCTGCCTGTGTATTGGGCGTCTTGTCTCCTTATACCAGCTGCCACAACTAAGGAAATAGAGAAATTAATGAAGAATTTTCTATGGGATTGTGATGAGTCGAAGAAGGGAAGGGCTAAAGTTGCTTGGTCCTCAATTTGTAAACCATTGGAGTATGGTGGTTTGGGTATGAGAAATTTAAGAGCTTGGAACAAAGCGATTCTTTCCAAGAGAATATGGATGATCCTATCTAATTTTGATTCTATTTGGGTGAAATGGATCAAAAATTACGTTCTTAAAGGGAGATGTTTTTGGGACGTTCATGAAAAACAAGACCTGAGCTGGAGTTGGAGAAACTTGATCAGATTGCGGCCTTATTTTAGAAATCATTTTTGCTCGAAAGTTGGGAATGGAGTGAATACTTTCATGTGGTATGATGATTGGCATTCTCTTGGAGCTCTTTCTTATGTCCTCTCTCCAAGAGAGATTGCTAATGCTGGATTTAGAATAACAGATAAAGTTAAAGATGTTATTATGGATAATTCCTGGTTTTGGCCTTCCGAATGGATTTCGTTGATTCCTCAGTTGAATGATTTTCAATTGCCGAAGCTTGATCCGTTGGTCAATGATAGAGTCCGTTGGAGGAAAAGGAATGGTCAAGAAGTGGAATTTGAAATTCATCAAGTTTGGAAAGATTTAAGCAATTGTGGTCAAAAGGTTCCATGGGCTCATATTGTTTGGTTTAAGCAAAGCATTCCTCGATTTAGCTTTATTCTTTGGTTGGCTATTCAGGAGAGATTGATGACTCAAGATAGAATGAGATTTTGGGATAAAAATAAGAATCTCAAGTGTTCCTTATGCAATGTTCAACCTGATTCGCATAACCATTTATTCTTTGACTGCAATTTTTCTTCTTTTGTCTGGAAAATTGTTAAGGATAAAGTGGGGATAAGAAGCAATTCTCATGGATGGAAGGAGTTAATTGAATAATTTCAAGTTTTGTTTAAAGGGAAAAGCATTCGAATTTTTATAATGAAGATTGCTTTTGCGGCTTCTGTCTATTACATATGGAGAGAAAGAAATTGCAGACTCTTTAGAAAAGGAAGAACCGAAGAGATGAAAATTGCTGTGAATATTTTTGAAGAAATTCGCCTCAAGCTAATTGGGCTCAAAGGAGAATTTTTGGGATTTGATAATGATGTTAAAAGGAAGTGGGGTGTTCCTGTGGGAAAGGAGGACAATAATGATTAAAGGAATTGACGGGTTTAGGTTTAACAATTTTCCTTTAAAAATTGTGTTGCTTATCGGTTTTATCCCGATTTTCTGGAGGATTATTCCTTCAGAAGTGGTTTTCATTATGCAAATGGGTTTCACCCCCATTTTAAGTTGTTTTCCTCCTTGGCAACTTGGAGTCTCCACTTTGGTGGGTGCTACTGCTAGTTCGATTAGCAAGTGGTGGGATAATTACCCGTCAATACTAGGGATTGGGTACGTTTTCCTTAAACTGTACCACAAATGGGTTGGTTGTTTCCCTTGTATCCATAAAAACAACCACTTTATGAATTTTTGGCATAAGTGTAAGGCTACTGCTATCCGATGTATCCCGGATTTCATTGGATTTTTTTCCTTTGAAGTGGATTATTTCTTATTGCATTTGGGTTTGATCCCCATTAGTTAGTGTTTTTATCCTAGGCAACTAGGATTCTCCACTTATGTGGGTGCCACTGCTAGTTCGATTAGCAAGTGGTGGGATATTCACCCGGCAATACACGGGATTGGGTACGTTAACCTTAGACTGTACCACTTACAGGTTGGTTGTTTCCTTTGTTATCATAAAAACAACCACTTTTGGAGCTTTATGGATCATTTTTTGCTTATTGCTGTCTGGTTTATCCCAGATTTCATTGGAATCTTTTCCTTTGAAGCGGTCAATTTTTTAAAGCAAATGGGTTTGATCCCCGTTAGTTGGAAATTTCTTCCTAGGCAACTAGGAATCTCCACTTTTGTGGGTGCCACTGCTAGTTCGATTAGCAAGTGGTGGGATATTTACCCGGCAATACACTGGATTGGGTACGTTAACCTTAGACTGTACCACAATTGGGTTGGTTGTTTCCCTTGTTTTCATAAAAACAACCACTTTGAGACCTTACAATCCCTTTGGTTTTACCAAAATTTTAAAGCTAATCGGTTCATCCCGATTATCATTGGTTTTTTTGCCTTTGATGTGGAATTTGGAGGGTTTATTCTTAATTTTTTAAGGATTTACCTTCAGGGGTATTTTTGGAATACTCTCACTAAAAAAGGAATTGACGGGATTCATTCTTTTGGGTTGATTCTTAAGAAGGAAGTTGGCAATGTAGTTTTTTGTAACCTTGTGGATTGTGGTTTAATTGCGCTTATGAGATATTTACTTACTAGAGGTTGGGATTTTATCCAAGGGCATTTTCGGAATTCTTGGATTATTATTTTGGAAGATTTGTTGAAGAGTAATTGGCTTAGTTTGGGCAACAAAGAAGATGAAGACAATTTGAAGAAGATTTGGAAATGGTGGGATTTGTTCGGAAATAACGGTTTTAGCATCATACTTTCTCCGGGTTTGAAGATTCTCTCTTGGAGCTTATCGGATTTTAAAGTGAAGATTGGAAAGAAGGTTATCAATTATCTTTTGGAGAAGATTGGGAAGAATTGCATGAAGAATATTGTTCAAAGTTCAAAGTTAATTGCTATTTTCGGGTTTAGTTTTGTGTGGAGATATTTGCATAATATTGTTGTTTTGAATGATTTGGCCAATGATTCTCTTGAGTTGGATGTTCCTTGGAAGCATTGGAAGACTAATAGTATTCAAACCTTGGACTATTTGTTTGAGTATGAGGCCATCTTTTGGGGTTTGACTTGGAGGAAGATTGGAAACTATATGAAGATTGAAGACCTTGAAGATTTCATTAGGTGGAAGGTTGTTAATTATGATTTTATTGTGTATTTCTTTGTTAGTTATTTTTGGTTTCACTCCTTGTGTTGGAGTTGGACATGGAAGTGGATCGGTTGGCTTTGTTTAGATAGGGTTTGATGCTTGTGTTCTTTTAGTGTAGTTTTTAGTTTTGTTGTTTTGTTTTTAGGTTTAGTTGTTAGGTTTTTGGGCGGTTGCCCTCTTCCCTTGTATTGTTTTTTTTCTTTTCAATAAATTTGCCATGGGGTCTTCCCCTTTTATCCAAAAAAAAAAAAAAAAAAAAAAAAAAAAAAAAAAAAAAACCCTAAACCCTAAACCCTAAACCCTAAAACCCTAAACCCTAAACCCTAAACCCTAAACCCTAAACCCTAAACCCTAAACCCTAAACCCTAAACCCAAATTTTTTTTCTCTCTCTAACTTTCTCTCTCTAGGAATTTCTCTCTCGGTCTTCCAGTTTTGGTGAGTGGCTTGGTTGGAATTCTGGTGATCGGATCTTTTGCCGGTGCCGGAATTTCATCATCGTTGATTGAATTCAATCTAAAACCAGTTCCAATTGTTTATACGATTGGTGATCGGATGTTCTGGAAAATTGGAAGTATGTTTGACATGAATTACAAAGATCCACCTGATCCAGCTAACAAAAATCTATATGAAGATGATCTGGAAGCTGATGTTGGAGCTAAACGAAGAGGAAGAAGAGCTATGCACAAGGAATTTTCTCCGTATTCAATGATTAAACCATTACGATCAAAAGAAAAAATGGAAGCTAAAATTAATCGGTTAAGGGAAGAAAAGAAGTATCTGAATGCGAAATCTATTGCTGATGGATCGAAAGAAGTTCTTCGAGCTGGAGTACGTGAAATAATAAAATCAAATTATGGGAAAGAAAATATAGATCCGCAATTTATAAAATCGGAGTTGGAGGCATTCGATAAGGTGATCGCTAATCAGAAAAAATTGGAAGAAGAAAAAGGATTTGTGTTGCTCCAGGTAACCTCAGATATGGTTAAAGGATATAATTCTTCTAAGAATTTGGTGGGTGGATCATTTCCTTCGTCTCCTGTTATTCATGCGAACATGGGAATGGATGCTGGAACTGTAGCTGGGTCGAACAATAGAATTTCAGCTGGAACAAAGAATGACAAAGGCAATTTGGTTGATGAGTCGAAGGTTACTAAGGACTTCATTTCTTCGAAATTAATGAAGATGGGTTCGTTTGCTTCAGGCCCTGGTTCGTCTTCTTCAGGTCCTGGTCCTGTAATTGAAACAAATGATGGGAAGGGCATTTTGGGAAAGTTTCCTGTTTCGCAAGATGCTTCAGTTAATTCAGGTATTCCTGTGGTATTTAATGCTAATCCTATTGACCCAATTAGTTGTAATACTAATTGTAATGATGAAGATATGAAAGATTCTATTAATGAGAATGGGAATTTGGAAGTTGATTATGGTAATAATATGAAGAAAGAATAGGGAGCTAATTTCTTGAATATGGATTTTTCGAAACCTGTCCTTTCCCCTGCAGCTAAGTTGGTTAATGAGTCCAATAAAAAATCTTATGCTCGTATGGTTGAATCAACAAATAATGTGGTGGATCTTAATATCAAAGTTATTCCAAAAGTTGATGGGAAACCTAGTGGGAAAGTGGAGTTACCTTATGCAGATTTAATGTTGGGTGGTGCTCCATATCATGCTACTTTGTATGGATTTTTTGTGGGGAAAAAGCTTGCTTTCCCAACAGTTAATCATTTTTCTTTTAAGATGTGGAAGATATATGGGCTGAAGGATATAATGGTGAATGATGAGGGATTTTTTTTCTTCAAGTTTGATTCAAAAGAAGGAATGATGAGTGTGCTGGAGGGAGGTCCATGGTTGATTAACAATGTTCCAATGTTTGTTCAAAGATGGAGGCCAGGTCTAGTTTTAAGTAAACCGCAAATTAATTCAGTTCCTGTATGGGTTAAAGTGTTTAATGTTCCTTTGGAGTATTGGAACAGCAAAGGAATTACGTTGATTGCAAATGAGATTGGGAAACCAATTGCTATGGATAAAATCACTCAAAAAATGTGTAATGAGCACTGGGGAAGGCCATCATTCATGCGATTTCTTGTGGAAATGTCAGCAGAATCGGAATGGATGAAAGAATTAAGTGTCGTCTCAATAGATTTTGGGACAGGAGAGAAAGTTGAATCAAAGTGCAGGATAGAGTATGCATGGAGACCTGATATTTGTAGTCATTGCAAAATTTACGGACATAAAAATAATAATTGTGGGATTCTAAATGGAAAAAAGAATGATGGTGTTACTGATGTTGCTGTTGACAGAGAAGAAAATGGGAGAAAAGAGAAAGTGGATGATGATGGGTTCATATTAGTAACGAAGAAAAACAATAAAGGGCAGAAATTTAATACCGGAGTGGTTATTAATGAAGAAGGGAAGGTGGATTTAATCAAATCATTGGAGAAAAGCACCAAACCTGTTTTAGAAGGAATGGTTGTTAGCAATAATGATGAAAGTCTTAAGGATGAGGGTAATCAAGGAATGGGAAAAAGCAAAAAAATTAAAGAACAAGAAAATCAAAAAGGAGGCCAAAATGAAGATCGAAGCAATGAAGGGGCAGAAAATCGGAAGAATGGGGGTAATTTCTCGAAATTTGCTGTGGGTAATCTAAAAAAAGATGGGAAAGAGAAAGGGGTATTTCAGTCAAAAGATGATAAAAGCGGGAAAAAGAATGGGACAGGGGTGTTCATACCAAAAGAGAAATTAGGAACAAGAGTGAAGAATGTAATTGAAAACTTTAATGCTAAAAAAGATGGAATGCAGGGGAAAAGAGAAGAAAATCAGAAAAAAGTGTATGTTCCTAAGAAGCAAGTGGAGTTAAAAGTGAGTTCTAACTTTGATAATTTAGGTTCTACGTCAGGAAAAATTGATCAAGATGAAATTACAACACAAAACCCATTTGATGTTCTTGCTGATTTGGGTTTAAGAGATATGTCTTATCTTGATGAGATGGATTCGGAGATTTTAACTGGAGGTGGCCAGGAGATAAGCACCGAAAAAAAATTGGTGATTAATGATGATGAATATAGGGTGTTGGAACGTGAGGGGTTCGAATTTAAGACCAAAACAGGAGGAAATAAAAAATGTGATAAGAAGTAATAAGTTGTCGTTGTTTGCTATTCTTGAATCTCAGTTGAGATTTAATAAGTTACAAGCGACTTGTAATAATGTTTTGGAGCTGGATGTGGATTTCGAATCAAGACATGAGCCCTAAAGGCACTCGCATTATAATTGGATGGGACCCAAATGAAGTTATTGTCATGCCTTTGGATGCTAATAGTCAGGTGATGCATTGTCAAGTCATATTTATCAAGGAGAATAAGAGGCTGTTTTGTTCTTTTGTTTATGGTTGCAATTATTATATAGACAGAAGGAAACTTTGGGATTCATTGGGAAAGCATTATAATTTGGTTGCTGGACAACCTTGGTTGATTGCTGGAGATTTTAACGTTACCAGGGAACTTGTGGATACGATGGCTGGTCAATCTAAAATCTCAAGGGGTATGGTAGAATTTAATGAGTGCATTAATTCTATTGAAGTCCAAGATATAAATAGTAATGGATTGCACTACACATGGAATCAAAGACCACGTGGGGCTTTTGGGGCGTTGAAAAACTTGATCGTGTGCTTGGGAACCATAAACTGATTGAAGATTTTCCGAATGTGTTTGCTAACTTCCAGCCTTATCGGATTTCAGATCATAGCCCTATGATTATCAAATTCCCAATTAAAAGAAAGTTCAGGGTCAGACCGTTCAAGTTTGTTAATTCTCTTGTGCTGCTGGATAATTTTCTGCCCATTGTTGAAAGTGTTTGGAAGACTGAAGTTGAAGGATTTGGTATGTTTTAGGCTCTTGTCAGAAATTAAAGCTTTTAAAGAAACCTCTCAGGAAATTGTTAACTAGTCATGGCAATTTTGCTGAGAAAGTTTCTAAATGCAGAGAAGAATTATGTAGGGTCCAGGAAAGTCTTGATTTGGACCCATGCAATGAAGAGCTGAGATTTGAAGAAGGAATATACCTGCAATCTTTCTTGAATGCTAGTAGGGAAGAGGAGAGTTATTTAAAACAAAGAGCTAAAGTGCATTGGCTTAAGGAGGGAGATTCTAATTCTGCTTACTTTCATAAGGTTGTGAAGGGTAAAATAAACAGAAACAGAATTGAAACAATCCTTGATGGAAATGGAAATTGGAAGGAAGGGGATGAAGCTTTTAAGGTCATTGTGGATTATTTTGGTGAATTTCTTGGAGTAGAACATGGTGTTGTTCCTATTATTAGACCGGAAGATCTTGATTTCAGGAAACTTGACAATCAACAAGCTGTGGATATGATCAAAGAAGTTACTGATGAGGAAATTAAGGCTGCCCTCTTTGATATTGATGATGACAAAGCGCCTGGCCCTGATGGTTTTTCTTCTAAATTCTTTAAGAAAGCTTGGATGATAGTGGGGAGTGATTTTTGCTTGGCTGTTAAAGAATTTTTTATCTCAAAAAAGATATTGAAGGAAGTTAATGCTACTGTTATTGCGTTAGTTCCTAAAGTGCAGACACCAGGCAAGGTTGGGGACTATCGGCCAATATCTTGTTGCAATGTGATCTATAAATGCATTAGCAAAGTTATTGTCAACCGCATTAGAGATCTTGGTGCTTGGTTTCGGATAATCAGTCGGCTTTTATTCCAGGGCGTTCAATATTGGATAATATTTTGTTATCTCAAGAACTTGTCAGAGGGTATCATATTAATAGGGGCTTTGCTAGGTGTGCTATGAAAGTTGATATTCAAAAAGCGTATGATACAGTTAATTGGTATTTTTTACGGAGTATTTTGAAAGAGTTTGGATTTCATGAATTTATGATAACCTGGATTATGAATTGTGTTACTACTTCCTCTTTTATGATCAATATAAATGGAAGTTTTCATGGGTTTTTCCAAGGAAAGAGAGGCCTCAGACAAGGTTGCCCTTTATCTCCTTACCTCTTCACACTTGTTATGGAGGTGTTTAATTTAATGCTTAAAAGGAGAATAAAGGAATGTAGTGAATTTAAATACCATTGGAGATGTAAAGAACAGGAGCTTACGCATTTATGTTTTGCTGATGACCTGATGGTTTTTTGTCACGGAAATTCTGAATCTATAAAAGTGATCAAGAAGACGATGGATGAATTTGCTAATTCGGCTGGCCTTGTTCCGAATCTGTCCAAAAGCCACATCTTTTTGGGAATGTTAAGGTGCAATTTAAAAGGAAAATCTTGAGGATTCTGCCTTTTGTTGAAGGTAAACTGCCTATGAAATATCTTGGGATTCCTTTGATTTCTACTAAGCTTTTTATTAGAGATTGTAAGGGTCTTATAGATAAAGTCAAGAAGAGAGTTAATGACTGGAAAAACAAATCCTTGTCTTATGCTGGAAGACTTCAACTAATAAGTGCTGTTCTTGCTTCAATTCCTGTTATTGGGCTTCAGTGGTTTTATTACCAAAACATAAATAAAGAAATTGGGAAAATAATGAGGGAGTTTCTTTGGAATAGTGGGCAGAATTGTAAAGGAGTTGCCAAGGTGTCATGGAAAAAATATGTAAGCCAAAGAATTATGGAGGGCTTGGGCTGAAAAATCTTAAAGATTGGAATATTGCTCTTCTATCGAGTAGAATTTGGAAGCTTATTAGTGGGCAAAATTCCCTGTGGGTGAAATGGGTTAATTGATTTGCTTGATGGAAGAAGCTTTTGGGATGTTGGTCCAAAAGACAGAATGAGCTGGAGTTGGAGAAATCTTCTAAAGATTCGGCCTTTTTTAAGAGATTTTTCTATTCTCGAATTGGAAATGGAAAAGGAACTAGCATGTGGTACGATAATTGGCATCAATTGGGGCCTTTGTGCTATGTTTTATCTCCCAAGGAATTACTAATGCTGGATATAACATAAGGGACAAAGTAGGTGATGTTATTGTTGATGAAATTGGAATTG